TATATCCGTTTCTATATATAAATTATTGTACATGTTTATGTTTAATGATAACACAACAATATGTCATGAAAATTACAGCAATTTGTTTTGAGTGGAATTGCACTCATGACTGACATGCTTTTAATAAGGCCGACTAAATATTGACGGGTCCCTAAGATCGCGCAATCTTTTTTTTTTTGCGCATATTTAATGTCGCGATTTGTTTAACTCGCGAAATTCGAGAAAATTAGTACGCGCAAAAATTAGTAAGAATAAGGTATATAATAGCTTTAGTTCTATAAAGAACTACTCATAAATCACGCAATCTAATTTGATTTTGCATTTTGCGCTGAAATATTTCCAGCGTCCATGTCTGTATTTTTCTTGGAGATCACGCTCAAACGCGGCCGCTATTAGTTTCTTGAGTGAGCGTGGCGTGACGACACTAATAGCAGCTGCGTAGGAGACTATTGACGCAGGTGTCACATTGAAATGTGTAAACAATTGATATCGTATGTATGATCACTGGCCTTGTTCAGTGGTTTGCGGACCACCTCAAATCTTCGTATTTTGTCATTAAGATCAGTTAATTGTTTACGAGCATGACTTTCACAGATTTTCGATCAGTACCACAGTCCTCAGATTTTTGATCTGTAGACCAAACTTGCATCAATGCATTCACAGCATAAGTATTTATTCATAGGCAAACATTAAGTTGTTAAAACACATCGGGATCCTTGGTCAATGCTTGATTTCTTTAGAAAAACAAAGGAAAAGCAATTATCCTGAACCAACTAGTATCCCGCTGTGAGTTTCAACTAAATAAAGTACAAATGTCGTGCTCAGCAGTCCAGAAGACAAAGTCGGCGTCGATCACACCATTAAACACGCATTGTATTTGGAATGTATTAGCAATGCAAGACTATTGTTTAAAGTCAAGCAAAGATGTCAAATCCACCCTGTACATGAGCATGATTTTGAAGCTTTTCATTCATTGATTCAATAAATTATTCAAAGCTTTTTATTCAGACTACCAAATTCAACTTCTTGCTACCCTAACTCATAGCCTATGAACTCTTCCATTTTGGATTCCATTTCCAACAGCAATATTTGCCTCAAGTACAGCAATATTTGCCGTCAAGCACAGCAGTTCCCGGGTCTTATACCAGTGATTAACGCTATGACTCTGACGGTTGTAGATGTAAAAGAGCGGGGAAACGGGTCAAGGAAAGAACAAAATTGAAGGTACAACTATTGAATTTACACATTTTCTAAAAGCCAAATAAATTTAAAGTAGTTTCGGAAAAAATCATTAAGGATTGTTTGTTAAAAGTCGTTAGGTTCAAAATGACATTCTACCGCATGTGTATAATTCGGAAACTTCCCGTGCAGGATAACTGACTGATTTCCGTTATGTATGTCGCTCAGCTTGATCTAAGGCATTGTTTTCAAGTTTAGTATCTACAGAGTATGCCTCTGTAAGGTTTTGCGTGACGGAGAAACGCAATAGAGAGTTTAAGATTGACGTTCACGGCAAACGTGTAACGTCAGTTGATCAGTGAAAAAATCTCTCAAAAAACTGAAAAGGAATCGCAAAAAAATCCAAGTAGTAGAAGAACAAAAGAATATTTGTTTGTGAAATGAAAATTTGCAAGAGGTTAAGTAAAATACAGGAAAACGATGAAAAGGTGGTCACGTTTACCGTTTGCGGTAAGGGAAAAAAGTCAATCTAAAACTCTCTAATAACGACAATTTGGCGGTTCCATAACATACAATGTTATTTGATTTTTGAAAACTACGTCTATATAGCTTTCAGAAAATAAATGTTTTTATATAAGGATATTGAATAGGAAGCCAAAGTAAAGGGGTCACCTTTTTTTGAGAGCTACAATCGGAGCAATTTATTTTGAAGAAACACCTTTTTTTTCCCGTTTCAAAACACCTTCCAATACCACAGGTACCCCAGCAAATGAATGAATGCTGAATTATGGGGCCCCTGTGGTATTCAAAATTGCGCCAGAAGTAAACAGTTGTAAAGAGTTATAGGTGGAAGTTTAGGCCGATAATATTTCGTGCGTTTCGTTTCGTTCTGCAAACTACAGCGAGGCATATTTTATGCTAAAATATATTTATTATATATATTATTTAGCTAAAAGGCAAAAAGCGATAGGAAACAGGTCATGATCAAAGAAATAGCTAGGATGACTTGTTTTTCTGCTTCTTATTGTTGCCAAGAACGTGGACCCCAGCGTTGAGAGTTATTCAATGTTATTTGTATTCAACAAAACCATTTCAATGTCGGCCTTACTATCGCCTTTGGCGACAACGTTTTTTGAAATAGGTTTATACACTTATAAAGTAAAGTCAATGTCTGAAATATCTGCGTTCAGCGAGAGAGCTTCCTTCTAGGTAGTGTTCAAGGAGATACTCATATGTTAACGATTTCGATATTCCTGAACTTAAGTATTTTTTGTAACGCGAGCTCCTTTTGGCTTAAGTGCCAAAACTACAGAAATAATACTATTTTCTTTTAATTCTATAAATACCATTGAATAACTTGAACTTTATTTCATATCAAAATGACGTTATCCGACATTTTTCTCCGTTGATTTCAGGAGTGAGTAATTAGTTCTTTACTAGCTCATAAAGAGAAAGGTACACAAATATTTCTACAACAATTTATTGCCGTGCTATGATGTGGTTTTTTGCTATTGATTTTATAACATAATTAACTAATTTTGATACTTATTCTCAGTTTCCCACTTTAAGAATGGATTTTATGTGTTACAACCTTCATGGTTTCATACAGAAACTCAAAAGAGTGTTGAAACGTTGTAAACATGCTCTGCAAAATTCAGATATGCTATCATATATAATATCAACTGTACTTTTCGCTGAATTTTTCTGACGGTTTTAAGGGGCACTTAGACGAAAATCGCTCCAAAATTAAAACTCTTTCATTCAAGCTGGACCTTTGCTGAAATAATCTTGGATACATTACTAATCCCTCACTGAAATATCTTTCTGACATTCGAAAGGAAAGGGCCAAAATTGTACGATTTATTTTCGTCCACCATTAATTTGTTGACTCACGGCCAAAGAGGTATTTTGTACGTCATACATTCAACACGTTCATGTTAACGTCGTTTTAACCATTCGTTTCTTGTTAAATTACCGTATTCTGGGTTAGGAATTTATCTTGCAGAGTATTGTTTAGCTTCAAATTCATTGTCCTTGCCAATAGCGCAGCGCGGTTATTACGTCACGAAA